CTTCCTGTAGTCAGCCCCTGGTCAGTTTCAGTGGCAGCAGCTGAATCTGGAGCCAGTTCCGACTTACATACAAATTCAATTTAAGAACAAACCTATAGTCCCTATCTTGTACGTAACCCGGGGACTGCCTGTAATCCAAATCCATATGTAGTATGTTCAGTTTTGACAATGTTTTCTGAAATGCTTTTGCTCTACCAGAAATTCAAGAGTAGCTATGGACTGAACTCCTATTGAGCATCTTCTAGTTGATGGCCTGAGAAGCTGCGAAGATTGCTTGTTCCTCTTTCATGCTTCATTGTTCTAGATTTAAATGTTTATCTCAAGCATTGTCATTGAGTGCTTCCTTATGGGCCTCTGCTGGCTGTGTTGTGCAACATATTGTCCTGTATAAAAGTTGTAAAGAAACCTAAAAATGTGCAGAGAACACAAACTGAAGAGGTTATCTTGAATTTGCAGCATCTCTGAGGTCCTTGTTTTAACACAAGTGTGGGGAACCTCAGGCCCAGGGACCAGATGCAGCCCCCAGCTTGTTTGGATCTGGCCCCCAAGGCTTAGTACTGGGGAGCCCATGCTGGTGCTCCAGCTACCCTACCCACAGGGCTGGAGCACACAAAATCTACTAGCCTGGGCTGCCTTAGGCTCTGGTATGCAAGGGAAATATGGTGGTGTCTTTCTCCTTCTCAGTCAGGGGCTTCTACTTTGCTTCTCACTTGTGTGCGGTCCCTGACTGATTTTTCTGTGGATAAGCAGCCCCCGATCCAAAAAAGGTTCCACACCCCTGTTTTCACAGATCATTAACTCCTAAAGATGAGAACTGAAATGGCAACAACGTTCAATATTTCACTGATGGTAATTTTTAAACAGATACATACTCATCCTTATCCATAATCTCACATTATCTCCAACACCTCTATAGAAGCCAAAAACCTTATTTGTCCCCTACTAGATGACCTGTTTGTTCTCATCCATATTTAATTCAATTAATTTTATTTTAAAAAGCTTCTGCAAGATTTTCAGTTTGCTGCCCCAGAATGCACAGAACCAAGGACCCTACCACAGAATATAGATCCAGATTGCTGTGGAGTCATATCTTTCAGTGGTCAGAGTCATTGACTGGTATTCAGTATGGCCTGGTCTACACAAGGACCTTAGTCCAAAATTAGCCCCCCAAGGTCAAATCTTTAAGTGGTGCATCCACACTACCAAACCCATGATTCTCGAATAAGGGGCCATGGAATTAAAGCTCCGTAGTCCTGCTTTTCATGAGGAATAACTAATTCCAAACTTGTAAATCCAAAATAACATTAGTGTGGATACTCCATGCTGCTAATTCGAACTAATTGGGTCCCGAGAGGCTTCCTGGGACTCTGAGTCCAAGGTAGAGCAATCACATTAACAGAGCCTTCCTCGGACTACATTCGATTCTTCCCTGTAGTGAAGACATGGAACTTCAAATTTGTAAATTTGGGTGTCCAGAAGTCAAATTTAGTAAATAGTAAATAAGCTCCTAGTGTAGACATGGCCTATGGTATTTCATCACTAAAAGGGCATTTTAAATTCAACTGAGTTTGGACTCTTCCCAGTAAAGAATAAAAATTAAGTGTATTCTCGTTTCTTCGTCCAAGGTAAGAGTACTTAAAAAAACAAGAAACATATCACTTTGTTTAGCCAGCCAAAATATTCAAACAATTTTTTTCTCTCACCTAAGGCCAACTAACTAAAAAGTTAAAAAAAGATTAGCCACAAAAATGCATACAAATCTGGACCTGGATTTGAATCTTTCCTATATCAGAAGAGTTCCAAAATTCAATAAAGTCAAATTTAGATTGTCAAATTTAAAAGTGACCCCTCCCAAAAAACCAAAACTAACACTGAGTGAATGAGAGGAAGGGCATGACAGTTTATTTGGGGGAAATTGTACCATTCTGATAATGCTGTATGGTATACATATAATAACTTCATTTTCACTTTTGATATGAACATTTCAGTAATGTTAGTTCTTAAAACTTTAATTGGACCAAGGTAATTTTCTGAAAAAATCTTTTAACTGCTCAGCTGGAATGAACTGGATTACAACCTCATATAACTACCATCTATTTATTAAAAAGTCTCTGGCTTAACCAAGCACAGGGTTAAAACCCCAAATCAACCCCTGCAAACTGTCCTAAGTAGTAAACCATATCTGGGAGTAAGATCAGCTATTGTTCAGAAACCCCCACCCTTACAGTGAGGTACTATGAGGAAGGTTAAAGACATGTCAGCATTATAGCTTTAATATCAAGTAATTTTTATTTCCTCAAGGTTGTTTGCAATTCTGTAAAAAGCTTGTAAACAGTTGCTTTCCTTATTGGCTGCCGTTTTATTTTAGCAAACAGTGATTTTTTTTTTCTTTATCGCCATCACTGCTATCAGCAAAGCTCCTCCTGGAACAGCCTTGTTAACCATTAGTGCAGGGAAATCCAAAAAAATGTTGCAATAAATCTTATCAAAATGGTCCTTTTCCTCCCCTCCATCTTGCCGTAGTGGTTTTTTTGCCTATTAAAGTTGGCACAATCCAGTCGGAAAACTAATGGATTTCTATAGTATAGGTAGTTAATATTTTGTTCTCCATCTGAACTATATCACTTGAATGCCTAGTTTCCTACCTTTTGTTTGTTTCAAGATTTATCTTTACTATTTTTCATGTGTGTAAATTGAATTCTGTTTCCTTGGAGCATTTTTTTGTTTATAGGAAGGAGACAAGATAAAGGAAAAGCTCTCTCATAGTGATCTATAGAAAGTGAACAGACAGGTTAAGGATAAAGTTTAGACTGATTTCCTTGGTTTAGATCAGAAAAATTGTTATTTTAAGACCATATTTGTGTGCATACACACTCAACTTTGTAAAAATCATTATACAAAAAAGACAATAGTTAATTTAGACTTGGGTGTTATAAATACAAGAAATGCTTCTCGTTTCCTAGTCAGTTCAGCCAAAGGTGCTTTCAAACCATTTATACCTTTGAACATCCCTGAAAATTTGTGACTTAGTAAACCAGTAAATCACAGTAGAGTCTCAATTGACCATATAGGTCTGTATTTGAATTTACACTGAACCAATAGCCAAACCATCTCCAGCAAAACAAATAAATGTGAGTTAGCCTGTATACACATTCCCTTGATACATTTCAATCCTCTGCTTTTAGATTACTGTGAGTAGAGGCTCGGAGAATGAATGTATTCTAACATAAAACCACTCACTATGTAATCATGATAAAGGGAATACAGTGATACTGAATTCTTTGCTTGTATGGTTAAGGTTCTCATACATGTAATAAATAGTCTTTATTTTCAATTCTAGGAAAGGGTGAATTGATTTTAAATCCTGCTTTTTCAGCCAACATTTGTCAAGAAAATATTTGCTGTGCCACTTAGACAGCGGCAGCTCATTATTTCATTCAGTATGAGATTTCACAATCCGTTCCTGTCACAGGCATCAACCCTTCATTCAGTCATAAAAATGTGGCTTACTAGAAAAGGAAAAATCAAAAGTCTAAAGGCACAAAGTCGCATAGCTGCTCTAGTAGGAGTTTGTAAACAGAGATGTAAATTTAGGAAATCCAAATGTAGGAGAATAAAAAGGCATCTGAAGCAGGCTTTTACCTAGCCAGCTTCCTTAAAGACCCAAAGGGTTTTGAGGTCTACAAAGTATGCACTAAAATACCATACTTCAAAAAGCAATAAGGCAAAGAGTATAATCATTATTTCAAAAAAGTTACAATGGTAGTGTAGGCATAAACAGTATAACTTAGTTACAATGTGTGGTACTGTTTCTATTACACAGCCATATTAACCTTTTCCTTCCTTAGAGATTCAGCTGGGACTCCAGATGAACACAAAATCATTCTTGAACCACCAACAGTTGGCAACAGCAATTTTTACTCTGCTGCTTAAATCACTCACATACTGTGAACAGTCCACAATTCAAAGTTAGGAGATTAAACATTGTCATACTTGTGCAGGGCTTCTTCTAATTTTTGTGTCACTTTTTGGAAAAAAAGTATTTGCTGTTTTAAGAAATGTTGCATTTGTGACTTAAAATCCCTCACCCTAATTTGGTGGAAATGATGTATTTCTGCCAAGGTGGCAAAAGAAATAATGTTACAGCGATCCTGAATACCATCTGCCTTCTGGACTTCCATCTTCCCTTCTTCCACATGCCTCTTACTCTCCTTTACTTTGGTAAGGGCTCCTGTAGAAAGAACAAAAAAGGAATATAGAACTAAACAGAGTGCCTCCAAATGTAGCTATTGCACTTTACCAAAATGTTCAGATTCTATGGCATATTAAAAATCTCCTCATTCTCTGTTGATACACAGATGCAGATGTGTACTTACATCTGCAGTGTAGTTATTACCTATCTTTCAGGCATTTTATGCTTCTAGAGACTTGTGTTTAAGATAACTAATCAGTTATAAGGATACGTAGCTGAAAACACAGTAACATCTGTGCCATATATACACACAGACTCTCAAAAATATGTAGACAAACTAAAGAATGCAATGATGTAGCAGGATTTAATAAGGAAGATTTATAATTATGTTACTAGCAGCCAAGAAGACAGGGACAATTTAAAATTCCTTTCAGAAATAAATACTTCCAGCTGTGAATCATATGACCCAAAAAATAGTAACATCTGGGACATATAGAAACTCTGAGACAGAAAAATAAAATGCAATGAGACAGTAAAAGGACATGCAGTGCAAACATCTGTGGCTGTGAACAGAGGGGGGGAAAGAGAATATAATTCTCAAAATACAACAAAGGAACCCATTGTGAACAATGTTCACAGAACAAAAATAAGATTTTTTTTCTTTTACATTATCACATTATAAATGCCTTTGGGTACACAAGATATAAAAATAATGCATCATTCACCTGCATGGTAAAACAATATAGCAGGGGTGGGGAACCTCAGAGCAGATGCAAGCCCGGCTTGCCTGGATCCAGCCTGAAGCTGTGCCCTCTCTGCCCCATCCCCAGGCTCTGCTGGGGGAGGGAATGTGGGGGTAGGGGGCGTCTTTCTCCTCTGTTGGGGGCCACATCAGTGGAGTGTTTTGGTTTTTTGTTTATCTTCTCACTTGAGTTCAGCCTCCAAGTGATTTTTCTGTGGGTCAGTGACCCCTGACCCGAAAAAGCCCCTTCCCCCCCCCAGAATATAGCAACACCACAAACTGTTCAGGGTCAAGGGATCAATCACAAATGAGTGGCTATATCTCTCCTCCAAAAGACAACACTTGAAGCAGCAGTGAACATCTTCTGACAGCATGATGGAGCTTTGGTTCACTACCAACTTAGAGGAAAGGAAACTTACTAATAAATCTTCAACACTGGTATTCCTAAGCTCTCACACCAAACTCTGGTTATAAGAGCTGACAAAGTCACACACTGAAGTCCTCTGACCATAATATTTCTGTCTTACATTAACAACTGAGCTGTGATTATTTAAATGTTTTCCCATTTCAGTGTCGAGTAAGATGTATTTCAACATGAGCTAGAGATAAGTGACAAAATAAAACTTGTATCAGAGGGGTAGCCATGTTAGTCTGAATTGCAAAAACAATGAGAAGTTTTGTGGCACCTTATAGACTAACAGATTTATTGGAGCATGAGCTTTCGTGAGCAAAGACCCACTTCACCAGATGCACGCAGAAGAAATTCCAGAGGCAGGCATAAATATACATGCATAAGAAAAGAGTTCCAATCAAGAGTAAGGTTAGAGATAATGAAGTCAATTCAGTCAGGGAGGATGAGGCCCCATTCTAGCAGCTGATGTGAAGGTATGAACACCAAGGAAGGAGAAACTGCTTTTGTAGTCAACTACAAAAGCAGTTTCTCCTCCCTTGGTGGGAGGTGGGGTGCAGGAATGGGCTGGGGGTCTTGGTAAGAGGTGGTATGCAGAAGCAGACAGGGTGGGGGATCTAGACAAGAGGTGAGATGCAGAAGAGGGTGCAAAGTCTGGGCATGAGGGAGGGTCTCACTGGGAGAGGGTTTGTGTGAGGGCGATGGGGATTCAGGGTCTGGCATGAAAGGTATGGGGGGGGGGTCCTTACCTGGTGCTGGGCGCCCTGCTGCTCCCATTGGCTGTGATTCTGGCAAAAGGGAAAAGTGGGGAAATTCTCCAGGTGAGCAGTTTCTTGTACTGCTGTTCCCCCAGCCAAGGGAGTCAGATTTGGCCCATGAGACCTGTGGCTCTCTTCCCCAACTGCCACAATGGGAAGCCCCGGTGCTGGCTTTCCAACCAAATGGGGGGGGGAGCTCCCCGCTGTGGGATTTGGGGGGACGGGGATGAGCCACTGGCTCTTAATACATTTAAAAAGCAGAGGTGCAGCATCTGGAACTAGCACAAGTTGGGAATAAGCTGATTCTTGGCTCATGCCCAGTGCCCCCTACAGAGATGGTACTGGAGGGAACTGGCTTTTAAGCTGACTCCCCCACCCCCCCCAGCACTGGCTCCTGCTCCCCACCCTTGCTGCCTCTGCTAGATAGAGGCAGCAAAGGGGGGAGAAGCAACTATTCAACGGACTAGTCAACTATCCGATAAGCTTTTGCTTATCAGCTAGTCGACTAGTCGCTTACATCCCTATATACAAGGCTGCAAAAAAATAAAAATAAAAAAATAAAAAATGCAATTTGAAACAGTTTCACACTTTTTCTTACTTAGGATCCAAACCCTCAGAGTATTATACTGCAATGCATGGCCTTTAGAGTTCTGAAAAGGTAAACACTTGGTAGCCCATGAGTGCATATGTGAAGCTTGATTTACCTTTCACTCTGGGAGGGACAACTGAACTTTTATGTGAGGTATTCATCCCAATCACTAGAAGAAACTGAGAGCAGGAAACAACCTTTCAGCAAAAGGGGATAACAAACTAACTTTAAACTGCCTGCTCATTCCCAGCAGAACTACTGGCATCTACGTATGAAGTTTCTTCAGCAACAGCAGCCATGGTATCCACCCAAAATTCAGACCATTTTTTATCATAAGGGATATAAAACCTCTATTGCATTGACAAATGCACAGCTTTCTTAGTGAACATAAGGTCCTAAGCAAGCCATTATGGCAGAAATGAAGACATTAAACAAATATAGTAATTCTAGTCCTGATTGTTGCAAAGAAAACCCACTGAAATAGACTAATAAATCCAACCACTATTTTCTTCCTTAATCTAGAGGGATCCCGTTACTTTGTGGTACAGTCATTTGGCTTTGCTTTATAGCCAGCCATGGTTTCAAGACCTTCTCACCTCACAGTGTCCTACAGCCCAGGCTCCAGCATGAGCCCAGATGTCAATTAAACAGCCTGAGTCAGCAGGCATAGGCTAGCAATGGGTGTTTAACTGCAGTGTATACATACCCAAAGAGAAGGAAGCAATTTGTTTTCGGTAACATGGGGAGGAAAGTGACTTACTTCCTTCAACTAGCCAACAAAATGCATACACCCAGACTTTTTAAAACTGAATATAAGAGGAATTCTGGCTTTCAGAAAAGTAAAATGGTTTGCACTGCAAAAGACAGTTTTAGGAGGGTTACAAGTGCTTGCAAAATATCTGGCAAACACTAGTTAAACAAAAACAAATAAGCCATCCACATCAAAACTTTGCACTCCTAAAGTGAAAGGGCTAAGGATGTACTGATAATTTAAATTAACACTTTGATTCACTACTGAATGATCACATTAGGCAGGGGAGTGCTTACATGTGGTGCATTTCCAGTTACAACTGGTTTGATGTTCACAGGAAACTGCTACCCATATTAAAGTGAAAACGGTTAATAAAATCAGCTTCACGCCTACATCCAGTACTGAGACCATGCAAATAATAAAAGATGATTGACAGAGAGGTTTAAAAGTTCTATGGTTTCTAATCTTTTTTTTTTTCCAGGCTTACTGGTTAAATTAAATTTATATGTAGTCAGCTAATGATGTAGAGCGCAGATGGTGTTAAATGACAGTCTTTTAAAAAAAGCCCAATGTAAATAAAAATTGTACATGTGACTGTAATCCTGTGTTTCCCACACTCCCACTCTTCAAATGTCACTTGACTTTATAGGATGTAAGCTCTTTGGGGCAAAGGAGGTATCTTTATCATCTCTAAATCAATGGACTTTGAATCACAAACTCCCCAGCCAGCCCTTCATGGCTTCAGTGGCCGGGAGCCCAAGGCCCATTTAAAATGCTGGGTCTCAGAGCAACTGCTCCTTTTGTTTCTCCCTACCTCCGGTTTGTTAGCACTGCCACAGTAGCTCTGCTGGACCCAACTGGCAGGGCTACAAATGGAGGAGAATGGAGCAATGACATTAAAAGTAATGCCACAATAGAGCTTTAAGGAAGGTCCCCATAAAGAGCTGCTGTGGCAGCATTTTAACATTGGCCATATATGGACTGGTACCTGTGGCCAGTTTTTACTGGTATGCCGTATCAGGCCACTTTCATCTCTGCACCTGTGTTTTAGTCCAGTGCAACATTAACTGGACCACATTTTAGATGGCAGCGTGCTAATGGTACAACAAAAGCTCCATATAGTTGATACTGCTTCTGTTCCAATGAGAGGCAACCTGGGATAGTGAGTAGGCCACGTGAGTTCAGGGGACTGCAAGATTGTTATAACCAAGACAGTTTCCCGGGGTAGGGTAGTTTTGCTAAATGCACTTGTGTATCTAGAATTTGTGGGGTATGCCAATTGAACCATACCAGCACTTCAACTGGATGCAGAAGGAGTGCACGGCTTTCACACAGTTGTGTGCAATCAGCATGTACCTCTCTTCACGTGCCCTTGTTTCAAGAATGTCACTTTTGTAATACTGGTAGAAAAAAACCCTATGTGGACAAAAACCTAACAGAATCTGGCAACTGTGTGCATGGGCAAAAGTAAACAAAATGTCTCGTGGACCACACAGTACCCCAATGGGCTGCAGGTTGATCATCACTGTTCTTTTCATTTTACACTGATGTTCCTGTACAGGTTGAACCTCTCTAGTTTGGCACCCTTGGAATCTGAATGGTGCAAAACCATGGGAGGTCAATGTTGTCTAGCAGCATTACCAACACTTGCAATGCTTACAGGGCTCTTAGAATAGCAATAGAAATGTAGCAGTGTTAGTCTGGGGTAGCTGAAGCAAAATGCAGGACAATGTAGCACTTTAAAGACTAACAAGATGGTTTATTAGATGATGAGCTTTCGTGGGCCAGAC